TATACCATTAAGCTGTATCTCTGGCATTGGAGAGGGATTGGCTGGTGACTGCTGGAAGAGCACTTTGGTTTTCTCGATGTTCAATGACAGGCCGAGCTTCTTGTATGCTTCTGTGAAGGTGTTTAGAGTGGCTTGTAGGTCTTCTTCTGAATGCGCACAGACAATGTTGTCATCAGCATACTGGAGTTCTATAACATGTTGTTGTGACCTTGGTTTTGGCTTTCAGTCTGAGGAGGTTAAATAGTTTGCCATCTTATAGAACCATAGAATCAAAGAGTTGGAAGAGACCTCATGGGCCATCCAGTCCAACCCCCTGCCAAGAAGCAGGAATATTGCATTCAAATCACCCCTGACAGATGGCCATCCAGCCTCTGTTTAAAATTCCAAAGAAGGAGCCTCCACCACACTCTGGGGCAGAGAGTTCCACTGCTGAACGGCTCTCACAGTCAGGAAGTTCTTCCTCATGTTCAGATGGGATCTCCTCTCTTGTAGTTTGAAGCCATTGTTCCATTGCGTCCTAGTCTCCAGGGAAGCAGAAAACAAGCTTGCTCCCTCCTCCCTGTGGCTTCCTCTCACATATTTTATACATGGCTATCATATCTCCTCTCAGCCTTCTCTTCTTCAGGCTAAACATGCCCAGCTCCTTAAGCCGCTCCTCATAGGGCTTGTTCTCCAGACCCTTGATCATTTTAGTCGCCCTCCTCTGGACACATTCCAGTTTGTCAATATCTCTCTTGAATTGTGGTGCCCAGAATTGGACACAATATTCCAGGTGTGGTCTAACCAAAGCGGAATAGAGCATGGGGAGCATGACTTCCCTAGATCTAGACACTATGCTCCTATTGATGCAGGCCAAAATCCCATTGGCTTTTTCGCCGCCACATCACATTGTTGGCTCATGTTTAACTTTTGTCCACGAGGACTCCAAGATCTTTTTCACACGTACTGCTCTAGGTTGAATAGCTTGCCATCTGTCCGATAGGTGATTTCCACTCCGGTGGGAAGCTTCCCATCAACAAGGTGAAGTATCATAGCGATGAAGATGGAGAATAAAGTTGGGGCAAGAACACATCCCTGTTTGACACTGGATTCCACCTTAAATGGGTCACTTTGGGAGCCACTGCTGTCCAAAACTGTTGCCATCATGTCATCATGGAGGAGCTGCAGGATGTCCACAAATCTGTTTGGTCACCCGATTTTTTGGAGGATGGTCCAGAGAGCGCTGTGATTCACTGTGTCGAATGCCTTTGCAAGGTCTTTGCATAGTTACATAGTGGTTACATAGTGCTATCTATGTGATATTTGGGTCACTTCTGATACTTTTTGTTGTTGTTTCCAAAAGTCTTGGAAAGAGGTATCACTTGGGAAGAAAAAGCCTGAGCAGAAAAACTCTATATTGCAACATTGGAGATCACACTCACACAAAACATGAAATGATGTAAAGTATAAAGCGAAAGGGAGGATGGAAGAGGCAAGGGATAGCCAATACTCCAGAGGACAGGAGCAGGATTCAAAACGATCTTGACAGATTAGAGAGATGGGCAAAAACTAACAAAATGAAGTTCAACAGTGACAAATGCAAGATACTCCACTTTGGCAGGAAAAACGAAATGCAAAGATACAGAATGGGGGACATGCCTGGCTCGAGAGCAGTACGTGTGAAAAAGATCTTGGAGTCCTCGTGGACAACAAGTTAAACATGAGCCAACAATGTGATCCGGTGGCAAAAAAAGCCAATGGGATTTTGGCCTGCATCAATAGGAGCATAGTGTCTAGATCTAGGGAAGTCATGCTACCCCTCTATTCTACTTTGGTTAGACCACACCTGGAATATTGTGTCCAATTCTGGGCACCACAATTCAAGAGAGATATTGACAAGCTGGAATGTGTCCAGAGGAGGGTGACTAAAATGATCAAGGGTCTGGAGAACAAGCCCTATGAGGAGCGGCTTAAGGAGCTGGGCATGTTTAGCCTGAAGAAGAGAAGGCTGAGAGGAGATATGATAGCCATGTAGAAATATGTGAGAGTAAGCCACAGGGAGGAGGGAGCAAGCTTGTTTTCTGCTTCCCTGGAGACTAGGACGCAGGACAATGGCTTCAAACTACAAGAAAGGAGATTCCATCTGAACATGAGGAAGAACTTCCTGACTGTGAGAGCCGTTCAGCAGTGGAACTCTCTGCCCCGGAGTGTGGTGGAGGCTCCTTCTTTGGAAGCTTTTAAACAGAGGCTGGATGGCCATCTGTCAGGGGTGATTTGAATGCAATATTCCTGCTTCTTGGCAGAATGGAGTTAGACTGGATGGCCCATGAGGTCTCTTCCAACTCTTTGATTCTATGATTCTATGATTCTAAGTCCAAAACACCTGGACCTTCCAGAAGGGTTAGAACAGTGTTTCTCAACCTTCCTAATGCTGCGACCCCTTAAAACGGTTCCTCATGTTGTGGTGACCCACAACCACAACATGATTTTCGTTGCTACTCCATAACTGTAATTTTGCCCCTATTATGAATCATAATGTCAGTATCTGATATGAAGGATGGATTTTCATTAACTGGACAAAATTTGGCACAAATACCCAATATGCCCAATTTTGAATACTGGTGGGGTTGATTTTGTCATTTGGGAGTTGTAGTTGCTGGGATTTATAGTTCACCTAAAATCAAAGAGCATTCTGAACTCCACCAATGATGGAATTGAACCAAACTTGGCACACAGAACTCCCATGACCAACAGAAAATACTAGAAAGGTTTGGTGGGCATTGACCTTGAGTTTTGGAGTTGTAGTTCACCTACATCCAAAGAGCACTGTGGACTCAAACAATGATGAATCTTGACCAAACTTGGCATGAATGCTCAATATGTCCAAATGTGAACACAGGTGGAGTTTGGGGAAAATAGACCTTGACATTTGGGAGTTGTAGTTGCTGGGATTTATAGTTCACCTACAATCAAAGAGCATTCTGAACTCCACCAACGATGGAATTGAACCAAACTTGGCACACAGAACTCCCATGACCAACAGAAAATACTGGAAGGATTTGGTGGGCATTGACCTTGAGTTTTGGAGTTGTAGTTCACCTACATCCAGAGAGCACTGTGGACTCAAACAATGATGGATCTGGACCAAACTTGGCATGAATACTCAATATGCCCAAATATGTGGAGTTTGGTGAAAATAGACATTTGGGAGTTGTAGTTGCTGGGATTTATAGTTCACCTACAATCAAAGACCATTCAGAACTCCACCAATAATGGAATTGAACTAAACTTGGCACACAAAACTCCCATAAACAACAGAAAATACTGGAAGTATTTGGTGGGCATTGTCCTTGAGTTTTGGTGTTCTAGTTCACCTACATCCAGAGAACACTGTGGATGCAAAACAATGATGGAACTGGTTGAAACTTGGCACAAATTCTCAGTATGCCCAAATGTAAACATTGGTGGAGTTTGGGGAAAATAGACCTTGACATTTGGGAGACCATTCTGAACTCTACCAATGATGGAATTGGACCAAACTTGGCACACAGAACCCCAAAGAAAAACAGAAAATACTAGAAGGGTTTGGTGGGCATTGACCTTGAGTTTGGGAGTAGTAGATCACCGACATCCAAAGAGCACTGTAGACTCAAACAATGATGGATCTGGGCCAAACTTGGCAAAAATACACAATATACCCAAATGTGAACACTGGTGGAGTTTGGGGAAAATAGACATTGACATTTGGCAGTTGTAGTTGCTGGGATTTATAGTTCACCTACAATCAAAGAGCATTCTGAACTCCACCAATGATTGAATTGGGCCAAACTTGACACAGAAAACTCCCATAAACAACAGAAAATACTGGAAGGATTTGGTAGGCATTGTCCTTGAGTTTGGAGTTGTAGTTCACCTACATCCAGAGAGCACTGTGGACTCAAAACAAGGATGGAACTGGACCAAACTTGGCACAAATTCTCAGTATGCCCAAATGTGAGTTTGGGGAAAATAGACCTTGACATTTGGGAGTTGTAGGTGGTGGGATTTATAGTTCACCTACAATCAATGGGCATTCTGAACTTCATCAACGATGGAATTGGACCAAACTTGTCACACAAAACTCCCATAAACAACAGAAAATTTATGGGAGTTGTCCTTGAGTTTTGGAGTTGTAGTTCACCTACATCCAGAGAGCACTGAGGGCTCAAACAATGATGGAACTGGGCCGAACTTGGCACAGATTCTCAGTATGCCCAAATGTGAGTTTGGGGGAAATTAGACCTTGACATCTGGGAGTTATAGTTGCTGGGATTTATAGTTCACCTACAATTAAAGACCATTCTGAACTCCACCAGTGATGGAATTGGACCAAACTTGGCACACAGAACTCCCATGACCAACAGAAAATATTGGAAGGGTTTGGTGGGCATTGACCTTGAGTTTGGAAGGTGTAGTTCACCTACATCCAGAGAGCACTGTGGACTCAAACAATGATGGATCTGGACCAAACTTGGCATGAATACTCAATATGCCCAAATGTAAACATTGGTGGAGTTTGGGGAAAATAGACCTTGACATTTGGGAGTTGTAGTTGCTGGGATTTATAGTTCGCCTACAATCAAAGACCATTCAGAACTCCACCAATAATGGAATTGGACCAAACTTGGCACACAGAACCCCAATGAAGAACAGAAAATACTGGAAGGGTTTGGTGATCATTGATCTTGGGTTTGGGAGGTGTAGTTCACCTACATCCAGAGAGCACTGAGGATGATGGATCTGGACCAAACTTGGCACGAGTACTCCATAGGCCCAAATGTGAACACAGATGGAGTTTGGTGAAAATAGACATTTGGGAGTTGTAGTTGCTGGGATTTATAGTTCACCTACAATCAAAGACCATTCAGAACTCCACCAATGATAGAATTGGGCCAAACTCCCCACACAGAACCCCCACGCCTTGAAGGGACTCTCTGGAGCAGGACTCCCCTCCAGCCTTCAAAACACCCATGGAAGCTCACCTTGTTCTTCTCAAAGAGCTCCGCTTGGACAGTTTTGAAATCGGTGTCCAGGGCGCTGACCGTCTGCCTCCGCTTCCGGGCCAAGACTTCCTCCAGGTCCTCAATCTGTGCCCGCAGCTTCTTGTTCTCCCTTTCGAGGTTCAGTTTTTCGGTCTCCAGGCGTTCCCGCTTCCCCCATTCGGTTGCATTTTCAGCCTGGAGGCGCTCCATCTGTGATGAACGAATTGAATGAAATTGTACGATTGGAATCTGGCTAGGGCATACAGTGTTCCCTCACCACTTCACGGTTTGCTTTTTGCACACTTGCTGTTTCGCAGCTTTAAAAAATGAATTTAAAACACAGTACTGTAAACAAGTAGCGAGGGAACACTGGACCGGAGAACAGCATCGCTGTAACCATTTTGCATCTGGCTACAGCAATGGTTCTCAACCTTCCTAATGCCGTGACCCCTTAATACAGTCCCTCATGTTGTGTGACCCCCAACCACAACATTTTTCGTTGCTACTTCATAACAGTCATTTTACTACTGTTATGAATCATAATGTAAATATCTGATATGCAGGGTGCATTTTCATTCACTGGGCACAAATACCCAATACACCCAAATGTGAATGCTAGTGGGGTTGGGAGAGGATTGATTTTGTAATTTGGGAGTTGTAGTTGCTGGGATTTATAGTTCACTTATAATCAAAAAGCATTCTGAACTCCACCAGCGATGGATTTGAACCAAACTTGGCTCCCATGACCAACGGAAAACACTGGAAGGATTTGATGGGCATTGACCTTGAGTTTGGGAGTTGTTTACAGTGGCTCCGCTCATTCCTTGAGGGCTGGTCTCAGAAGGTGTTACTGGGAGACTCCTGTTCAACCCCACAACCTTTGTCTTGTGGGGTTCCTCAGGGTTCAATACTGTCTCCCATGTTGTTTAATATCTACATGAAGCCGCTGGGTGAGATCATCCGGAGTTTCGGAGTGCGATGTCATCTGTACGCGGATGATGTCCAACTCTGTCACTCCTTTCCACCTGCTACTAAGGAGGCTGTCGAGGTCCTGAACCGGTGCTTGGCCGCTGTGACGGTCTGGATGAGGGCGAACAAATTGAAATTGAATCCAGACAAGACAGAGGTACTCCTGGTCAGTCGCAAGGCCGAACAGGGTATAGGGTTACAGCCTGTGTTGGATGGGGCCGCACTCCCCCTGAAGACGCAGGTTCGCAGTTTGGGTGTGATCCTGGACTCATCGTTGAGCCTGGAACCCCAGGTTTCGGCGGTGACCAGGGGAGCATTCGCACAGTTAAAACTCGTGCGCCAACTGCGCCCGTACCTTGGGAAGTCTGACTTGGCCACGGTAGTCCACGCTCTGGTTACATCCCGTTTAGACTACTGCAACGCTCTCTACGTGGGGTTGCCTTTGAAGACGGCTCCGGAAGCTCCAATTAGTCCAACGCTCGGCAGCCATGATACTAACAGGAGCGGAGCGCAGGGAGCATACAACTCCTCTGCTGCACCAGCTCCACTGGCTGCCGATCTGCTACCGGGCTCAATTCAAAGTGCTGGCGTTGGCCTTTAAAGCCCTAAACGGTTCTGGCCCAACTTACCTATCCGAACGTATCTCGGCCTATCAGCCCACCAGGACCCTAAGATCTTCTGGGGGGGCCCTACTCTCTATCCTGCCTGCTTCACAGGTGCGGCTGGCGGGGACGAGAGACAGGGCCTTTTCTGTGGTGGCCCCGCGGCTATGGAACGCCCTTCCCATGGAGGTAAGATCAGCTCCCTCATTGATGGTATTCAGGAAAAGACTAAAAACGTGGATGTTCGAGCAGGCGTTCGGTTAACTCAGTGCAATAAGTGTAATGATTGAAGGACTGGCAATCTGGACGACGAAACTGGATCACGATTTTAGTCAAGAGATGAATTGGATTGTTTATTGATATATGTATTGTGGATCGTGTTTTTATGCTTTTAAACTGTATACTGTTGTTTGTTATAAGTTGTTGTAAACCGCGTTGAGTCACCGGCTAGGCTGAGAAACGGCGGTATACAGGAATATAGCAAATAAATAAATAAATAAATAAATTTTCCGGAGGCAATGCTGATGGAATCATTCCAGGAGTTGCATGTGATGTCTATAAACAGTCCACGTTTCGCAGGCATATAGCAGGGTGGAGAGGACAATGGCTTTATGATTCATAACTTTGTTCTGTCCTAATCTATATAAATAAAAATGTAATGTTCGTTTGTGGGATTAACAGAACTCAAAAACCACTGGACGAATTGACACCAAATTTGGACACAAGACACCTAACAACCCAATGTATGTCCTTCACTAAAAAAAAATTGATTTTGTCATTTAGGAGTTGTAGTTGCTGGGATTTATAGTTCACCTACAATCAAAGAGCATTCTGAACCCCACCAACAATGAAATTGAACCAAACTTGGCACACAGAACTCCCATGACAATTAGAAAGCACTGGAAGGGTTTTGTGGGCATTGACCTTGAGTTAGGGAGTTGTAGTTCACCTATATCCAGAGAGCACTGTGGACTCATGCAATGGTGGATCTGGACCAAACTTGGCAGAAATACTCAATATGCCCAAATGTGAATACTGGTGGAGTCTGGGGAAAATAGATCTTGACATCTGGGAGTTGTAGTTGCTGGGATTTATAGTTCATTACAATCAAAGAATATTCTGAACTCCACCAATCATACCCCATGACCTACAGAAAATACTGTGTTTTCTTATGGTCTTTGGCGACCCCTCTAACACTGCCTCGCGACCCCCTCAGGGGTCCCGACCCCCAGGTTGAGAAACACTGCCTTAACACAATATTACCTTAAGAAAAATTGAATGTATGTGGAGTGAATGCTGAGTTTATGTTAAGGTTCCCCTTTGTCTGTGTAACCAATATAGCTATTATAAAACCAGTATTAAGTTTGTGTGCTGGTGCTTCAGGCACAGCCGCTGAAGTGAGGTCAAACTGCAACAATTCAACTGTGTAGATGCACCCAGAGCCAAATGTGCCCACATTCTCACCTCGGAGCGCAACTCCGCCAGCTTCTTGTCCATGCTCGATCGAGCCCCCAGCTCATCTTCCAGGTCCTCAGAGATGCGTCCCAGCTCATCCTGGTGGATTTCTTTGAGGATATTCAACTGCAGAGAAAAAGAATCATAGACTCATAGAGCTGCCAAGAAGCAGGAAAATTGCAGAGAAGAGAAGCTGATACAATCATGTTTTCCTATCCTCCCAATCCCTTTGCCTAAACCCAGGGGCGGCTCAACGTATTACGCAAAGTAAGCATTTGCAGTATAGTTGATTTTGCCCAGGGGCGCTCTTGAGGGAAAATAGACCTTGACATATGCGAGTTGTAGTTACTGGGATGTATAGTTCACCTACAATCAAAGAGCATTCTGAACTCCACCAATGATGGAATTGAACCAAATATGGCACACAGAACTCCCACGACGAACAGAAAATATATATATCAGTGATTGGTTGGGGCGGGGGCAAAATACTGTTTGCTTACCGTTGAACATTACCTAGGGCTGCCTCTGCCTAAGCCAGAAGAAAAAGAAAAGACTGGGAGCATTAAAGTAATTTGAGTTCCCTTCTATGAATTATTTTGGTGTAACTACATCTGCACTGTAGAAGTAATGCAGGTTGACACCACTTCAACTGCTCTGGATCAATGCTACAAGTGATGGCCACTCGTTGGCCTGGTACGTGTCTTGTGTCCAAATTTGGTGTCAATTCGTCCAGTGGTTTTTTAGTTATGTTAATTCCACAAATGAACATTACATTTTTATTTATATAGATTTTTGTGGCATTGAATGGTTGCCTTTTATGTTGTAAGCCGCCCCGAGTCCCCATGGGGAGATGGGGCAGGATATAAATTAAGATTGATTGATGTATCAATTGAGTTTATTTTAAAGGCATCATTGCTGCAGTTTCAATCCTCAGTAAATGTCTAGTGTTTTAGTATGAAGCCATGGTGGTTAAAGTGGCATTAAACTGCATTAATTCTAGAGTACAGATGCACCTACAATCGGATTGTGTGGTTTCTATGCACGCAGAAGGTTAAGAAAACCAATATATACTCCCATACTTCTGAAGTCATGAACATTTTTCTAAACATTTTATTGAAGATACTTTAAAAGCAGTAGCAGTAAAAAAACACTCCATAAAAATAGGTAAATCCAATTAGGTAGAAAGATAAGCAGGAACAAATAGTCTAGGAAATTAGTCCATCAAAGTTCATGAAAAACAGGCAGAAACTTCCAAGGTAAAATCCCAAAAGCTGAATCATGAATCAATCAAGGCACTTAACACATGAATCTATCCAAGGCAAGGCTTCCAAGGACCAGGAAAGATGTCTTGACTCAATTCCAACGATGCTTCGTCTGACTACAGATTCTGTACTTGGCACTTTTATCCCCTAATCTACTCTATGTCCCAAGCGGCCAGAAGCAGATTTCGTTTCAGCCTTGACTCTGTTATCAAAGTGGGCGCTAGAAACAACATCATACGAAAGCTGACTGGCACAACCTGGGGATCACAACCAGATACAGCGAAGACATCTGCCCTTGCGCTGTGCTACTCTGCTGCTGAGTATGCATGCCCAGTGTGGAACACATCTCACCACGCTAAAACAGTGGATGTGGCTCTTAATGAGACATGCCGCATTATCACGGGGTGTCTGCGCCCTACACCACTGGAGAAATTACACTGCTTAGCCGATATTGCACCACCTGACATCCGCCGGGAAGTAGCAGCCAATAGTGAAAGGACCAAGGCAGAGACATCTCCAGCTCATCCCCTGTTTGGGTATCAGCCAGCACGCCAACGACTTAAAACTAGAAATAGTTTTCTAAGATCTACAGAGACACTCGCTGGAACACCTCAGCAAGCAAGAGTCCAAAAGTGGCAGGCTCAAACCCAGAACCTCAACCAATGGCTGATACCAAATGAGAGACTCCCCCCTGGGCACACAGAGGACTGGGCGACTTGGAAGGCGCTGAACAGACTGCGCTCTGGCACCACGAGATGCAGAGCCAACCTTCAGAAATGGGGCTACAAAGTGGAATCCTCGACATGCGAGTGTGGAGAGGAGCAAACCACTGACCACCTGCTGCAATGCACCCTGAGCCCTGCCACATGCACAAGGGAGGACTTTCTTGCAGCAACACCAGAAGCACTCCAAGTGGCCAGATACTGGTCAAAGGACATTTAATCAACTACCAAACTCACAAATTTTGTATTTTGTCTGTTTGTTTGCTTTGTTCTGTTAGAAATGTAATATAATTGACTGGTTGCTGATGACTCGATAAATAAAATCATTAGAAACATCATTACCTACATGAACCTCATTGTCATTCCCAACATCCAGAGTACCCTGATCATTAGACACAATCACAGGCTGAACTGCAAAACTTTCGTTCAAGATTGGCTGACCTGCTTCAGCACTTCTTGTTTGTTCTTGTTCAGCTCTTCGTACTTGATCTTCCACTGGCTCAGCTCCCCTTCCAGCTTCTCAATGTTCCTGCTGAGGGACATCTTGTCCCTGGAAAGAGACACAAAAATGATATGGATGTGGTTAGCCATGGCTAGAACTCTTTTCACCAAAAGAAACCACAGAATTGACCAAGAGGACCCCACTACGGCACACTCACTCTCGCTCCTTGAGTAGGACCTTTTGGGACTCATCCAAGCGCAGCTTGAGAGCGGTGATCTTGGTGGCGTCGTCTTCATTGACTGAGACATCTTCCCAAAGCAGCCGGTTCCTCTCCTGGCGGGCGAGGGACGAGCGGACACTGACCGAACTCCGCTGGTCCCAGTACTCCGGCCCTTCTTGCTTGCTCTTCAAGAGGTTCTCCATCAACTCAAACTCCTGCAGTTATTATGGAATTATGTGAAAACGGGTAGGAGAGGTGACCAATAGCGAAACCAACCTGGACACAGAATATTATCTGAGAACACAGAACTTCTAGACCAGTGGTTCTCAACCTGGGGGTCGCGATCCCCAAGGGGGTCGTTTGGCCATTTTGGAGGGGTTGCGAGGCTGCTCCTTTGACCCACTCCCCAAGGCTTTGCGCGAGGCCAGGCCTAATGTGAAGGAGATAATTTTTCAATACTTTGTTAACATAGTAAAACTAAAGACCTAGAAAACATAACAATCTAATCATTTGGCCTCTAACTTTAACACAATACTTATCTGATATAAAAAAGATCATCTTTAAACACTGGCATTTAATACAAGACATCCCAGGATGCCAAAACACACCTATAGTTGCCCATAAAAGATCTAAAAACTTAAGAGACATTATGATTCATTCGGAATACCTTTCTCCAACCACACCTCAAAATCAGATTATTAAGGGTCATTTTAGCTGTGCCCATTGTGACTGCTGTTCCCAGTCTTTGAAGGGCAAAACATTTTCTCATCCCACATTAAATATCCATATCACCTTACAACACTTCACTACATGCTCCACGGACAATATTGTCTACGTACTCCAATGTCCGTGTCAATTATTATATGTCGGGATGACCACCAGACCCCTGAAAATCAGAATTAGTGAACACCGCTCTCGAATAAGAAATGGGTCTACTGACTCTTCTTTATATGCACATTTCCAAGAGAAGGCACACTCTTGCTATAGCTTTAAATTTTGTGCTTTGGAGAAGGTATCACCTAAACCTCATGCTGATGTGAAAAGGTACTTGTTACAGAGAGAGTCATTTTGGATTTTCAAATTACAAACACTTATCCCCCAAGGGCTTAATGATAGAATAGATTACACTTGCTTCCTGTAACATTCTATCCTACTTAAGAGTCACCAGTTACCATCACAATTGCTCAATTCAGAACTCCTTACTCAGAGCCAAGGCTGTTTACAGGAATGTAAGTAGACTTACATGGGTTTTGAAAATCCCCTCAAACAGTGGGGTTTGGGGCATTCTAGTATACCTTTTTGTTTATATATTGTCCTTTTCCTATCTAGTGAATCCAAAGACTATAAATGCTGATAGGAAATCAAAACAGAACTGATAGCTACCTATTAGAATGTAAGTAGTCATGCATGTACAATGACAACCTTTTCAAAACTATGTCAATTTGGGGATTGTGTTGTTGTTCATTCGTTCAGTCGTCTCCGACTCTTCGTGACCTCATGGACCAGCCCACGCCAGAGCTCCCTGTCGGCCGTCACCACCCCCAGCTCCTTCAAGGTCAGTCCAGTCACTTCAAGGATGCCATCCCTCCATCTTGCCCTTGGTCGGCCCCTCTTCCTTTTGCCTTCCACTTTCCCCAGCATAATTGTCTTCTCTAGGCTTTGCTGTCTCCTCATGATGTGGCCAAAGGACTTCCACTTTGTCTCTCGTCTCCTTCCCTCCAATGAGCAGTCGGGCTTTCTTTCCTGGAGGATGGACTGGTTGGATCTTCTCGCAGTCCAAGGCACTCTCAGCCTTTCCTCCAACACCACAGCTCAAAAGCATCGATCTTCCTTCGCTCAGCCTTCCCTAAGGTCCAGCTCTCACATCCGTAGGTTACTACAGGGAATACCATGGCTTTGACTAGGCGGATCTTTGTTGCCAGTCTGATGTCTCTATTCTTTACTATTTTATCGAGACTGGACATTGCTCTCCTCCCAAGAAGTAAGCGTCTTCTGATTTCCTGGCCACAGTCTGCATCTGCAGTAATCTTTGCACCTAGAAATACAAAGTCTGTCACGGCCTCCACGGTTTCTCCCTCTATTTTCCAGTTGTCAATCAATCTTGTTGCCATAATCTTGGTTTTTTTGACGTTTAGCTGCAACCCGGCTTTTGCGCTTTCTTCTTTCACCTTGATTAGAAGGCTCCTCAGCTCCTCCTCGCTTTCGGCCATCAGAGTGGTGTCATCTGCATATCTGAGGTTGTTAATGTTTCTTAGTATATCTATTATTTGTATGTTGCTGTGTTTCTTATTTAGTGAATTACAACATCATAACACCTGATGAAGACATTGCGAAACAAGGGAAACAACCCGGGAGACCTTGTTGTGTGTCACTGTCATTGATGTTGTTTATGGAAGAAGATCTTTCGACAACATAGAAAGTGTTATTTTGTGCCACTGTGCCTGACATTGTTTAACTGTTATTTTGGAAGCTCTAAGTTCATTGTGTTGACAAAATATTGATAAACCATGTGTCACTGTTTTTGATGTTGTTTATGGAAGAAGATCTTTCGATAATATAGGAAGTGTTATTTTGTGTCACTGTGCCTGACATTATTTAATTGTGATTTTGGAAGCTCTAGTTTCACTGTGTTAACAAAGTATTGAAAAATTATCTTATTATTTATTTATTTATTACTGTGCTTATATACCGCCGTTTCTCAGCCTAAATCGGCGACTCAACGCGGTTTACAACACAACGACAAGCAGCAATATTCCATTAAAAAGCATAAAAACACATACACAATACACAATATTATTGGGCCACCAATAATAATCCAATGCATCTCTTAATTGTAGTCGCAATCCAATTTCGTCGTCTGTGATTAACCAATCCTTGTTCATCAGTTTCGTTGCACCAGATTAATCGAATGCTTGTTTAAACATCCATGTCTTCAACCTTTTTCGAAATACCATCAGCGAAGGGGCTGATCTCACCTCTATGGGGAGGGCATTCCAAAGCCGAGGGGCCACCACAGAAAAGGCCCTGTCTCTCGTTCCCGCCAGCCGCACCTGTGAAGCAGGCGGGATAGAGAGCAGGGCCTCCCCAGAAGATCTTAGGGTCCTGGTGGGCTGATAGGCTTCCAATTATAAACAGTCTTTAATTAATTGTGTGAATGTTCTCATGTTACATTCAATGTAGAAATTCTTAGAATATAGAAATTGTGATTGGCAATCTACAGTTTTTGTAATTGTTGTTATAGATATCTGTGCATGTTACAACTAACGTGAAGGAGCTCTCACCTGCCTCGCACTCTCGCTACCAGCAAGGGCGTGGGCCAGGCGAGGGGTCATTCGCGCAAGGCCTGACCTTGTGTAAAGCCTGCCTCGCCTGATTTGCACTCTCGAAAATAATTTTATGGTTGGGGGTCACCACAACATGAGGAACCATATTTAGGGGTCACAGTGTTAGAAAGGTTGAGAACCCCTGTTCTAGACCACTCTGGCAACTATCATGTCATTGTCACAGAGAAGCCATTGAAATCCACAAGAATCACAGGTGTCTTGTGTCCACATTTGGTGTCAATTCGTCCAGTGGTTTTTGAGTTATGTTAATCCCACAAATGAACATTACATTTTTGTTTATATAGATAATGTAATGCAATATAATACTAACAATAATATGATATGGAGCCCCCGGTGGCACAGTGGGTTAAAGCGCTGAATTGCTGAACTTGTTGACCGAATCTGGAGAGTGGCGTGAGCTTCCGCTGTCAGCCCCAGCTTCTGTCAACCTAGAAGTTCGAAATGTGAGTAGATCAATAGGTACCGCTCCGGCGGGAAGGTAATGGCGCTCCATGCAGTCATGCTGGCCACATGGCCTTGGAGGTGTCTATGGACAACGCCAGCTCTTCAGCTTATTCCACACATAAATGTTCGGCATGTGTGATCCATGGTTCTAAATGGTTCTAAAGTACTTACAAAACTAGGGGGTGCTGGTGCTCTGCTTCTAAAGTGTTTCCAAAGTTGATGTTTCACTTCTAAAGTGTTTCTAAAGCTGGTGCTTTGCTTCTAAAGTGTTTCTAAAGTTGATGTTTTACTTCTAAAGTGTTTCTAAAGCTGGTGCTTTGCTTCTAAAGTGTTTCTAAAGCTTGGTGCTTTGCTTCTAAAGTGTTTCTAAAGCAGGTGATTTGCTTCTAAAGCGTTTCTAAAACTGGTGCTTTGCTTCTAAAGTGTTTCTAAAGCAGGTGATTTGCTTCTAAAGCGTTTCTAAAACTGGTGCTTTGCTTCTAAAGTGTTTCTAAAGCAGGTGATTTGCTTCTAAAGCGTTTCTAAAACTGGTGTTTTGCTTCTAAAGTGTCTAAAGCAGGTGATTTGCTTCTAAAATGTTTCTAAAACTGGTGCTTTGCTTCTAAAGTGTTTCTAAAGCTGGTCTTTGCTTCTAAAGTGTTTCTAAAGCAGGTGATTTGCTTCTGAAGCGTTTCTAAAACTGGTGCTTTGCTTCTAAAGTGTTTCTAAAGCAGGTTCTTTGCTTCTATACTGTTTCTAAAGCTGGTGCTTTGCTTCTAAAGTGTTTCTAACATTATGGGGGTGAAAATTTAAGAACTCTAACTAAACTTTCAAAAGTTCGTTATAAATGGCAGTTCCTAATTGGTTCTGTCATAAAAATCGCCATTAACAAAACAATAATACAATTTTGAAAGTTTCGTTAGAGATCTGAAATTTTCACCAACAGAACTTTAGAAACACTTTAGAAGCAAAGCACCAGCTTTAGAAACACTTTAGAATGCCCCCTAGTTTTGTAAGTACTTCAGAACCATTTAGAACTATGGATCACACATGCCTAATAAATATACACTCCACTGGCGTCATTTCCAATAGACCTCTGAACAAACCTCATTCTCGGCACAAGTCATGGCACTCCCCTTTGCACTCCTCACCTTATTCTTTGGCATCTTCTCGGAGCCCGGGTCTCGCACTGGTTCCTGCTCCGGAGCAGCTTGGCTCTCCTTCTCGGAGGTGACACGGTTGTCGAGCTCCTTCTCCTTCTCTTCCTCGCCGCTATCCACTTTGAGGCGGGCCAGCTCTTTGCCCAGCTGCTCCTTCTCGTTGAGGGCCTCCTGCCTCTCCCGCTTGAGGCCGGTCAGCTCCTTGCTGAGGTTCTCCAGCTTCTGCCGCAGGTGCCGCACCTCCTCTCTGGCCTTGTTGCGCTCAGCCCGCACCTTGCTCCACTTCTCCCGCCAGTTGGCCGTGCAGTCTGACCACCAGCGCATGGTCTTCTCCATCTGGGCCGCCCGAGCTCGGGCTTCCTCCAGTTCACGGAGGCGCAACTCTTCCCTGCTCTCCCAATCGCCCACTTCGAGGCAACCGGGGCTCAACAATGAGAGCGGAGACGGGCCGGGAGAAGGGGTGCCACTCTTTGGCGTGGGCGACATGGAGTCGGAGAGGCTCATCCGTTCCGGCTGAGAGGTGCCCAAGATGGCCAGGAGGCTGCTTTTGGAGAGTTGAGGCGAACCAGACAAGTGGGAGCCGGCACTCTGGTTCATTTCACCGCTGGGCCAAAACCTCAATATTCAATCAATGGCAGGTTGATGGGAACGTGGCAAAGGAGCTCACAGCGCCATTCACTCTGCAGAAAGAGAAAATATTATCTGCACTTTTTGCCTTCCATGGAGAAAATCATCTCAGGTGAACACACACAGTAGGAATGGGATGTTGGTGAAGAGGCAAAGAAGGCCAATGGGAATGTGGCAAGAGTACCATTTGCTTTCCAGTGATAGAAATGTTTATTTATTATTTATTTACAGTATTTATATTCAGTCCTAGTTTCCAACATAGGCTACGGGCACGACTGCACGTTACTTAAGTCACATTCACCAACTGTCTGCGCAAGGTTTCATACTTTGCACTTCAACAACACAACCGATCAATGCCAAGGCTTCCCGGAAAAATGGAACTGTAGAGGAGAGTCTACTGAACAAGCCATTACCTGCCGCATATCAGTACTCCCATCTGTTGAGGAGTTACAAAGGTGGAGGCATTACTTTTCATTCAACCATCGTATAAACCCCACTCACCTAGTTTCCAACATACCTCCCAACCTCTGAGGATGCCTGCCATAGATGCAGGTGAAACATCAGGAGAGAATGCTTCGGGGGGAGTGAAGCCCTTCAATCCCCCCTCCCCAGCTACGGGCATGACTGCACGTTACTTAAGTCACATTCACCAACTGTCTGCGCAAGGTTTCATACTTTACACTTCAACAACACAACCGATCAATGCCAAGGCTTCCCGGAAAAATGGAACTGTAGAGGAGAGTCTACTGAACAAGCCATTACCTGCCGCATATCAGTACTCCCATCTGTTGAGGAGTTACAAAGGTGGAGGCATTACTTTTCATTCAACCATCGTATAAACCCCACTCACCTAGTTTCCAACATACCTCCCAACCTCTGAGGATGCCTGCCATAGATGCAGGTGAAACATCAGGAGAGAATGCTTCGGGGGGAGTGAAGCCTCTCAAGCCCCCCCCCCCCCCCGGCTACGGGCATGACTGCACGTTACTTAAATCACATTGACCAACTATCTGCGCAGGGTTTCATACTTTGCACTTCAACAACACAACTGCTCAATGCCAAGGCTTCCCACCAAAATGGAACTGTAGAGGACAGTCTACTGAACAAGCCAGTACCTGCTACATACCAGTACTGTCATCTGTTGAGGTGTTACAAAGGTGGAAGCATTACTTTTCATTCAACCCTTGTATAAATTGCACTCAGGAGAGAATGCTTCGGGGGGGGGGGGGGGTTGAAGCCCCTCAAGCCCCCCCCCCCCCGGCTACGGGCATGACTGCATGTTACTTAAGTCACATTGACCAACTATCTGCGCAGGGTTTCATACTGCACTTCAACAACACAACCGTTCAATGCTAAGGCTTCCTACCAAAATGGAACTGTAGAGGAGAGTCTACTGAACAAGCCAGTACCTGCCGCATACCAGTACTGCCATCTGTTGAGGAGTTACGAAGGTGGAAGCATTACTTTTCATTCAACCCTTGTATAAATCGCACTCACCTAGTTTCCAACAAATCTCCCAACCTCTGAGGATGCCTACTATAGATGTAGGTGAAACATCAGGAGAGAATGCTTCGGGGGGAGAGTGAAGCCCCTCAAGCCCCCCCACCCCCGGCTATGGGCCTGACTGCAAGTTACTTATGTTGTTGCATACCAATACTGCCATCTGTTGAGGAGTTACTAAGGTGGAAGCATTACTTTTCATTCAACCATCGTATAAACCGCACTCCAACATACCTCCAAACCTCTGAGGATGCCTGCCAGAGATGAAGGCGAAACGTCAGGAGAGAATGCTTCGGGGGGGGGGGGCTGAAGCCCCTCAAGCCCCCCCTCCACCTGGGCTATGGGCCTGACTGCAAGTTACTTAAGTCACATTGACCGACTATCTGCGCTTTCATACTTTGCACTTCAACAACACAACAGTTCAATGCTAAGGCTTCCCGGCAAAATGGAACTGTAGAAGAGAGTCTACTGAACAAGCCAGTACCTGCTGCATACCAGTACTGCCATCTGTTGAGGAGTTACAAAGGTGGAAGCATTACTTTTCATTCAACCCTTGTATAAATCGCACTCACCTAGTTTCCAACAGACTTCCCAACCTCTGAGGATGCCTGCCATAGATGCAGGTGAAACGTCAGGAGAGAATGCTTTGGGGGGGTGGGCTGAAGCCCCTCAAGCCCCCCCCCCCCCCGGCTACAGGCATGACTGCAAATTACTTAAGTCACATTGACCAACTATCTGTGCAGGGTTTCATACTTCGCACTTCAACAACACAACCATTCAATGCTAGGGCTTTCCGCTCAAATGGAACTGTAGAGGAGAGTCTACTGAACAAGCCAGTACCTGCCACATACCAGTACTGCCATCTGTTGAGGAGTTACGAAGGTGGAAGTGTTACTTTTCATTCAGCTCTTGTATAAATCGCACTCACCTAGTTTCCAACATACCTCCCAACCTCTGAGGATGCCTGCCATAGATGCAGGCAGAACATCAGGAGAGAATGCTTCGGGGGGAGGGGGTTTGAAGCCCCTCAAGTCCGCCCCCCCCTCCCGACTATGGGCCTGACTGCAAGTTACTTAAGTCACATTGACCGACTGTCTGCACAGGGTTTCATACTTCGCACTTCAACAACACAACCGTTCAATGCAAAGTTTTCCCGTAAAAATGGAACTGTAGAGGAGAGTCTACTGAACAAGCCAGTACCTGCCACATACCAGTACTGCCATCTGTTGAAGAGTTACGAAGGTGGAGGCATTACTTTTCCTGCTAAGGCTTCCCACCAAAATGGAACTTTAGAGGAGAGTCTACTGAACAAGCCAGTACCTGCCACATACCAGTACTGCCATCTGTTGAAAAGTTACGAAGATGGAAACATTACTTTTCATTCAACCCTCGTATAAATCGCACTCACCTAGTTTCCAACAGACCTTCCAACCTCTGAGGATGCCTGCTGTAGATGCAGGTGAAACGTCAGGAGGGAATGCTTCTGGAGCATGGCCAGACAGCCCGGAAAACTCATAGCAACCCATTCAGATGCTGTAAATACCTTTGCATCTTGATTTATTATTAATGAAATTGGTCTGTATCAATCAATTTCTGATGGATCTTTTCCTGGTTTTGGAATCAAAACTGTCGCAGGGTTTCAAACTTTGCACTTCAACAACACAACCATTCAATGCTAAGGCTTCCCGCCAAAATGGAACTGTAGAGGAGAGTCTACTGAACAAGCCAGAACCTGCTGCATTCCGGTACTGTCATCTGTTGAGGAGTTACAAAGGTGGAAGCATTACTTTTCATTCAACCATCGTATAAACCACACTCACATAGTTTCCAACAGACCTTCCAACCTCTGAGGATGCCTGCCATAGATTCAGGCGGAACGTCAGGAGAGAATGCTTGGGTGGTGTGGGGGGGGGGGGGACTGAAGTCCCTCAAGCCGGGCTACGGGCCTGACTACAAGTTACTTAAGTCACAGTGACCAACTGTCTGCGCAAGGTTTCATACATCGCACTTCAACAACAGGAGAGAATGCTTCGGGGGGGGGGGGGGGGGGGGGGGGGGAGTGAACCCCCTAACCCCCACCCCCGGCTATGGGCCTGACTGCAAGTTACTTAAGTCACATTGACTGTCTGTCTGAGCAGGGTTTCATACTTCGCACTTCAACAACACAACCATTCAATGCTAAGGCTTTCCTCTAAAATGAAACTGCAGAGGAGAGTCTACTGAACAAGCCAGTACCTGCTGCACACCAGTACTGTCATCTGTTACGGAGGTGGAGTCATTACTTTTTATTCAACCCTCCAAAATGGAACTGTAGAGGAGAGTCTACTGAACAAGCCAGTACCTGCTGCACACCAGTACTGTCATCTGTTATGGAGGTGGAGTCATTACTTTTTATTCAACCCTCCAAAATGGAACTGTAGAGGAGAGTCTACTGAACAAGCCAGTACCTGCCACATACCAGTACTGCCATCTGTTGAAGAGTTACGAAGATGGAAGCATTACTTTTAATTCAACCCTTGTGTAAATCGTAATCACCTAGTTTCCAACAGACCTTCCAACCTCTGAGGATGCCTGCCATAGATGCAGGCGGAACGTCAGGAGAGAATGCTTCTGGAGCATGGCCAGACAGCCTGGAAAACTCACAGCAACCCACACCTTTGCATCTTGATTTATTAATGAAATCGGTCTGTATCAATCAATTTATGGTGGATCGTTTCCTGGTTTTGGAATCAGAAAACTGTCGTAGAGTTTGGCCAGGGCGGTGGTGGCTCCCTTCCTTCTCGAATGCTGCTGAATAGCTCAGCCTGAGTTTGGGTAACAGACCCTTCCCTTTCTCTAAGGAAATATCAGCCAAGCCTGGGGTGACGTCACCCCGTTTTCCACTCCTCCTGGAACTTGGAAAGAGTAGGATGGAGATGGGCAGAAAGAGGGAGGAAGAAAGCATTCTCAGCCTGGAAGAAAGGAACAAACAAAAGGGAAGAGGAGGATAATTGCATCCAGGCAGAGGCAAAGACATAGAGGAAAGACATAGGAAACTGTATAGCACAGAATAAGGCCAAGGATCTGTCATTACAGAGACCCACGCAGTTTCTCCCCGGGCCAAAGATAAAATAATCTCACTCCTTTCGAAACGAAGGAAGCAACAGCTGGTCGAAAGAGAGGGGCCGGCACTTTCCGTGCCCAAAAAACCCGACAGCACTAAAAATATATATTACTAGCCGTCCCCTGCCATGCATTGCTGCGGGGGTTCTGTGTGGGAGGTTTGGTGGGGTTCAGAATGCTCTTTGATTGTAGGTGAACTATGAATCCCAGCAACTACAACTCCCAAATGTCAAGATTCTATTTTCCCCAAACTCCACCAGTGTTCACATTTGGGCATAGCGAGTATTTGTGTAGAGTTTGGTCCAGATCCATCATTGTATGAGTCCACAGTGATCTCTGGATGTGGGTGAACTACAACTCCAAAACCAAAGGACACTGCCCACCAAACCCTTCCAGTATTTTCTGTCGGTCATGGGAGAACTGTGTGCCAAGTTTGGTTCAATTCCATCAT